AGAGATTGAAGTGAATATATGTGTGTCCTTCAACGGTTTAGTAACTTAAGAGTAAGGGTTTTTAGAATGGTATCAATATTTGTGACAAAACTTTGCAATAATAAAATCGGAATAAAAGTCGGTCCTTAAATTTGATAAAAGCATGTCAAGATTAGGTTTCGTTAGTCCGTCCTAAATGTATCTACCAAATCAAATATGTAAACAAAGTTCTAACCAATATAATCGTGTATCCTCGCAAAAGCGTTTATCTCTAAATCAATTTCGTGAAAAATATTTTTTTGACCGTTAAATGATCTCTCTACCTAACACTTGAAACAATAGGCATTAAGATTGATACAAAGCGGATATCAACTTTCAAATCTATCTCTAGCATTTGTCATAGTTGATAGATGAAGATATTAGGTCAAGACATGGAAAGTTTATCTCTAATACAAACCAACTCATAAATGTAAAAATGGTAGCAAATAACTTCATCTATATTGAATAACAACTTGTTCACATACAATAGATTAAGAATAATACATAAATTCTGAACCAACTACTTCTAACCTTGACAAAAGAAGGATTTAGCTACTCATTTCCATGATAGTTTGAACAACAAGTTTCAGGAGAAGGTTGATCAACAGCTGAGTCGAAGAATCGAGATTGGATGGGAATCCACCTTCTTTTTGGAAAATATTGTCAAGAGATGATGAATAATGAGAGAATGGGTTTCTAGGGCACAAAAATCACCTCTAGAGCCAAAACAGTAAAAAAATGTTATGTTCTAAAAAATAGCCCATACTACTTATAGTCATGTTTGTTGAGCTGTCATGCTCGCTAGGCGAGCAGAATGGTTCGCCTAGCGAGCCCCAAAATATGTCACCAGAAGAGCATGCGTCCAGAGGATTTAACCCAGAGAAGTTTGCAGTTGTTCTCTAGGCGAAGCCTTCGCTGCTTCCTTCGCCACAACGAATGTTGGTCTTTTTTCTACTGGAAGTGTTCTCTACTTGCTCGCAGGTGCTTCTCCTAACGAGCACTTCGCTACCTCCCTCGCCACAGCGAATGTTGGTATTTTTGATTCTGTCCAAGTCTAGGAGTGTTCGCTGGCAGCTCGCTGGTGCTTCGCCTCGTGAACACTTCGCTACCTCACTCGCCAGTGCTTCGCCTAGCTAGCTTGCTTTTGTTTGCTTTATTTATTGATTCCTTTGCCGTCTTTCTTGTGTTTTCAATTTCTAATCTTTCATGCCTAATTACTGCACAATAACACACAAATTAAAGGTACCAAGATCATTTCACATAATATTGCAAATCAACAAAAGCAAGGGCGGTTTTGAACACTTTCTCGACAAAAAGGAGTGAAAGATGCTCACATTTGATAGCTCAAATAAGCAAAATTGGGCATCTAACACATGCTTGTTCAAATGATTTCATTTTGTTTCGAAATGAATATGCATCATTAAACGAGTGTCCTAAATGCGGTGTATCTCGGTATAAGAAAAAGTTGTCACCAACAAAAGTCTTATGGTATTTTCCTATAATTCTGAGATTTAGACGCATGTTTCATAGTGAAACAGATGCAAAACACTTGACTTGGCATGCAGATGATAGAATTATAGATGGGAAGTATCGACATTCGGTAGATTCACCACAATGGATGAAAATTGATAATGAGTATCCTAATTTTGGAGAAGAAGCTAGAAACCTTCGCTTGGCATTATCGACTGATGGAATGAATTCGTATGGTCTACAAAGTATCTCACATTCCACATGGCCTGTAATTATTATGATTTATAACCTACCTCCATGGCTATGTATGAAGCGTAAGTACATGATGTTATCTATGTTAATTTTTGGCCCTAAACAACCAGGGAATGACATAGACGTTTACTTGACACCTTTAATAGAAGACTTAAAGAGTTTGTGGGAGAACGGTGTGGAGGTTTATGATGGATATAGGAAAGAAAATTTCAATTTGAGGGAGATGTTGTTTGGCACAATTAATAATTTTCCAGCATACGGAAATCTATCGGGGTATAGCATTAAAGGTCAATGTATGTTTCCTATCTGTGAAGAAAACACAGATTAGACGCGATTGGAATTTGGTCAGAAGAATGTCTTTCTTGGTCATCGTAGATTCTTAAATTCTAATCATCACTACCGTGGGTGGAGAAAATCATTCAATGGAAATTCAGAATAACGTAGAGCTCCACCTACATTGACCGGCGAACAAATTTTTGAAAAGGTGAAAGATGTGAGTACTAAGTTTGGCAATCCTTTTGCTCATACGATTGTCACACGCGAGTGGAAGAAATGGTGTATTATCTGGATTCATTGGATGGTGATCAAACAAAATATCTTGATATGAAGACTATGGTTGATACGTAAGTGATGAGATATACTGTTCTGAATAATTATCTTTATTTATTATGTGAGATTGTTCTAAATATTCGTTTATATTATGTTAGAGCTATACAAATATTTCGATCGCAAAGAGAAGCAACAGTGCCAAAAAGGAAGGCTAACAACATTAGCTGGATCAGAGTGCAGGTATATTTTCATATTTTTGACTATTATAGTGATTCTACTTGATAAAACTATTTAAACTATATATCCTCATAAATGATCGTTTGTTTTTTCCATTTACAGTGTCCTCGTCAACGCAATGGGATTGATTGCGGATATTTTGTATTGAGCTTTATGAAGGAAATTATTCACTCGGGTCAAATAGATATTCCAATCATGGTATGTATCAATTCATAAGTTATATGATTTATTTTAATAATTAACCGATATTTCATCTGAGTAATAAGTTTTAAAACTAAATCGTGCATCTTCTGAAAAGCCTGCTAAACAGGGGGAAAAGCGCTGCTAAAAATGCTGCTAAAGGGGGCCTATAGCAGCGCTTTTTCCATAAAAAAACGCCGTCTTTACCTTTAGCATCGCCACTTTAGGCAGCACTTTTAAGCGTTGTTAAAGGGCAAAAAAAACACTGCTAAAGGTCTTATTTAGCATAGTGAAGTTAATCAAAATATTTAAAATATATAAATAGTATATATAAATTAAGTAATAAAAAATTAGATGATACATAAAGAGTTGAAAATATCTTAATAGAGAAAAAGAAAGTAAGATATTAAATTTGACTAAAAGAGATATAATTTAAATAAAAAAGCTAGAAAAAAAAGTTGAGAAGACAAACAAAATAATAAAATAATAATAAATAAGAAAGAAAAAAAGTTGTGAAATGAATAAATAATAAAAATGTACGAGAGAGGGGACATGTGAAAATATAAGAAGTAAAAAAAAAATCAAATCCAATATTAAAATAATAATTTTTTTAAAAAATGTAATCGAGTAGTTTGAATTCATCTTTTTTTTTTAGTGAATAAAATGGAATGTTAAGAATTCAAATTCGTGCCCATGCATTTTTATATAGAACTATCAATTGAGTTAAGAATTCAAATTCGCACCCTTGTATTTTCATATAGAATTATCAATTGAGCTAATATAATGAGATTAATTAATTTTTAAAAAAATTGATATTAATTATTTGAATGAATTGGAAGAATGTAGTTACCTATGAGATTAATATTTTCATAAATTAATAGAAATTTATGTTTTTTTTTATAAAACCTATATTTTTTATTAATAGTAAACTCTGTTGAAATTTTTACAATAAAAGATGGAATAAGAGTTTTGAATATATGTTTTTTTTATATTTTTAAGAAAATACTATTGATTTTAAAATTTATTTAATACTTAATCAAATTATTTTTATTGATTTAAAATGTATTTTTCTTAAATATTGACGAATTAAAATTTTCTATAAATATATTTTATAAAAGTTAAAAAATTTACAATTAAATAATTCATTTGGTTTTATAACAAGGAGAAGAGAGTTATATATCAATCAATGTTTTGAAAATTAGGCTGCTCATAAAACTGGTGAGGATGATACGCCATTGGTTTATTAGTCGAATCAATGAGTCAATGTTGAATCGCATGACTAAAACAATTAAAACAGATAATTCAATTGAATAAATTCATATTTATAACAAAATTATATAATTATTAAATCGGTCGAACTAGATGACTCTTTCTTTTAAAAAAATTACTAAACACTTACAAAATTTTAAAATTTTAAAAAATCACAATTTTACAATTTTATTCTTTAAATTCAAGTTTTAAACATATTTATCACACATAATAAAATAGTACAAAATAAAAATTCAAATAAATTTTGAACAAAGTATAATTACAACATAAATTGAATAATAACATATCTGTCGTTGTCTAATAAACTTAATTCCAATGAATGAAAATGATTTCACATAAGATTTGAAAAAAGTCTGCTTATATTTTAATTTTAAAATAAATAAATTAAAACAACATCTTTTTATTTAGAGAAAAACCAAACATTTAACCGACCAATTCGTCAATTTCTATCCGCTTATGCTAGCTCTTATCAATTTCCATTAGTTCAATAATTTATCCGATCTAATAATCAGATTAAATCAATGACTCTTTTGATTTTTAATTCGATCGTTTCGATTGATCTATCCAATCCAATCTTTAAAACATTGATATCAATTTTAAAAATATTCACCAATAAAACAATATTTTAAATTTTGTTCGAAAATAAATTATAATTTGTTTTACAAAATTATCATTTATTAGTTATCTAAAATAAATTATAAAAAAGAATAAAAATAAAAACAAAATGTATAGTAAAAACACAATACTATTATTCCGATCATCGCTTTACAATGAGATACTTATTTTTAACCAAAATGATGGCAAAAATAACACATAAAGTTTCACATTCTCATTTTGTGGGACTCTACAAAAGAATCCAAGCCTATTTGTAGACACCTCAACATTTGAAACACAACTCAAATCATTTATGTTATATGTTGTAGTCTAGTTAGTGTATTGTGTTACGTAAGCCTTCACTTTTATTTTCCCAATTCCCTTCATTCACTCCTAAAAACTTTCTCTAGGAGTTGAAGAGGGAAAAAACAATGGAGAAAAACACACAACAATTACATAAAAAACATCATTTTAGAGCTTCTAAAACTCCATTACTCATGCAACAACATTGTTGTCTTTTCCTTTTCATCTTCACCATGTTTACTACTAAAACCACCCAAGCTTTTGATTATGGTGATGCCCTTTCAAAGAGTCTTCTCTATTTTGAAGCACAACGTTCAGGGAGGTTACCTTATAATCAACGCGTCACCTGGCGTGACCATTCTGCCCTCATTGATGGTCTAGAACAAGGGGTATATGTGTAAAAATCTCATTTTTTTGGCATTGCAATTTGCAAAACAAATTAAAAATTGAATCTTTATTATTTATTATGTATATGTGTAGGTGGATTTGGTTGGAGGGTATTATGATGCAGGTGATCATGTGAAATTTGGTTTACCAATGGCATTTACTGTGACAATGCTTTCATGGGGTGCTATTGAATACTTACAAGAAATTGAAGATGCTGGTGAGTTAGAACATACACTGGAAGCAATTAAATGGGGCACTGATTATTTCATCAAAGCTCACACTAGTCCAAATGTCTTGTGGGCAGAGGTAACTCATTTTACAACTTTCAATCCAATTAATTAATTAATTGATCAATTCCACTGCTTATTTTGAGAATTATGAAAATAATTTCTTTTAGGTGGGAGATGGTGATACTGATCATTATTGTTGGCAAAGACCAGAGGACATGACAACATCAAGAAGAGCATTCAAGATTGATGAAAACAATCCTGGTTCAGATCTTGCTGGAGAGACATCAGCTGCTATGGCAGCTGCTTCCATTCTGTTTAAGAAAACAAATCCTCATTACTCCCACTTACTTTTACACCATGCAGAACAGGTACGAATTCTCTACCAGAGTCACACAGACATAGACACCAAACACACTATTGATACATTAACATTATATTGATGTCAGAGACAGACACATTTTCAATTGATATTATGTTGACGTCAGAGACATATAATGTATTGATATTTATGTTACTAGTCCATTTAACTAATTAATGTACAAATTTGATTTGACTAAGTACTATAATTATGTACTTAATGAAGTTGATTAATTATTAATGAGATCAATTTTTTGTGTGTGTAGTTGTTTGAGTTTGGGGACAAGTATAGAGGAAAATATGATGCAAGTGTTGGAGTAGTGAAAAATTACTATGCGTCGGTGAGTGGGTACATGGATGAGTTGTTATGGGCTGCCACGTGGCTATATAAGGCCACCGACAAAGAAGAGTATTTAGAGTATGTAATTAAAAATGGTAATCTCTTTGGTGGAACTGGTTGGTCCATAACAGAATTCACCTGGGATGTTAAATATGCTGGTCTTCAACTCTTGGCTTCACAGGTAAATAAACTTTACTTTACTGTATTTAAAATTTCATTCATGGAGTGGAGTATGCATGACTTAAAGAATATTGGTGTATAATCTTTAGCTATCATAAAATGAAAACTGTTTAAAGTGTATTTAAGGGCTTGCATGTGCTTTTGCCTGGTGGTGCTTTAACTTTGCATCATGTGTAATTAAAGTGATGTTGCTTATGGTTGAGCCAAATTTGAGAGAAGCCAGTAAGATATAATGGTATATTTTAAAAATTAATTTCAACAATTAAGTTTAAATTTGATTAGCGCGGCCTCAATTTCGGGTGAGTTAAGGTTTTTTAAAATATAGAATTTAGTTCCAACTAATTTATAAACACATCTTTTTTACGCTCGAAACACTTTTATATTCAGAATATTGTATTTTAAACATAATCTGAGTGGTGAAATAGGAGAGACACTTCTATATTTAAAACACTATATCTATAGCGTGATTTGAATGATTAGATAGTAGAGTCACTTTTATGCGCAAAACTTTATATATTGAGTCTAACATGACTGATAGTAAAGACACTTTTACGTTTGTGATATTATATCTAAAGTATAACTTGAGTGATTAGATAGTAAAAATACTTAATTCTCATAATATTAACGTGACCTGAATAATTAAATATTAGAATATTATATCTAGAACGTGACCTGAGTGATTAGATAATCGAGACATTTTTATGCTCAAAACATCATATCTAGAGTGGTCTGAGTGATAGAGGATTGGAAAGTATTTATAATCTAACTCCAATGCTATTTTTTGTTGTTGCAGTTTTTAAGCCAAGCAAAACACAAGAAACATAGTGATATACTTGAACAATATAGATCAAAAGCAGAGTACTACATATGTTCATGTCTCAACAAAAACATGAATGGAAGCAATGTGGAAAGAACTCCAGCTGGATTACTATACATCCGACAATGGAACAACATGCAACATGTTTCAACAGCATCCTTTTTACTCACAACATACTCTGATTTCCTCAAAAACACAAATCAAAACCTCACATGTCATGAAGGCATAGTGCAGCATGAAGAAATTCTAACATTTGCTAAATCACAAATTGATTACATTTTGGGCTCAAACCCAATGAACATGAGCTACTTAGTGGGCTTTGGGCCTAGTTACCCTAAAAGGGTCCATCATAGAGGAGCTTCCATTATGTCATATAAGGAGAATAAAGGGTTCATTGGGTGCACTCAAGGGTATGATAATTGGTATGGTAGTGAAGATCCTAATCCTAATGTTTTGGTGGGGGCTTTGGTTGGAGGACCTGATTGGAAAGATGATTTTGAAGATAAAAGGAACAATTTTATGCAGACTGAGGCATGCACATATAACACTGCCCCTTTAGTTGGTCTTTTTGCAAAATTCTTGCATATAGAAAATAATAAGATGGTAGATGATTGTAATTCACTTTTGGTGGCTTCTTTTTAAGTAAATAAATATTAGAAAGCTGTATTTATTTATTTTGGTATGGTATATGTTTTATGGGAGTAAATCAACTTTGTAGTTCTTCAAAATGTAAGGATGGGTTAATTTAGTACTTCAAATATGTGAAATAACAATTTCTTTATCTATTATAATATATTAAAACAAAATCATAAATAGGTGATTATAGGTGATTAACATCTAATCACCTATTATAATATATTTTTTACTAATATTATTCTTTTACGAAATCTTACCGTCAAAAAAATTATACTTAATTTATAATTCTATAATTACAATAAACAAAAAAAAAACATCAATTTCATCCCTCAAGTGAAAAAATTGATCAATCTTGATCGCATTCGTCAGAACATCTGTTAGCTGCTTTTGAGTGTTACAGTGCACAACTTCTAGCACTCCATTATGGACTTGACATCTCAGAAAATAATAATTCGTCTCAATATGCTTGCTTCTCTCATGTAGGATTGGATTCTTAGCAAGATTGATTGCAGATTTGTTATCAATCAACAGCTTCAGAGGCTTGTTTACCTTGATCTTCAGATCCTACAGTAAATTCAGAAGGCAAACAACTTGAGATGTAGATCACCTACAATGTATTCAGCTTTACAGGTTGACAAAAAAAACAATTGGTTGCTTCTTAGAACACCAAGAAATATGACCTCCCAAATACTTAAACAAATATCCATAAGTACTTGCTCTGTCAACTCTGTCTCCACACCAATCAGAGTCTGAATATCACATTGGCTATGAATTAACCTTTTCTCCACAAGGGAACAAAACTCTATACTTCAGAGTCCCCTTAATATACCTTAGAATCCCAATAACATCTTGGTAATGAGACCACTTCAGTTTACTCATGAACATACTAATCATTCCAACTGCATAGCAAATTTCAGGTCTGGTATCACACAAATACCTTTGAGGTCCAACCAAATGCTTGAAATTTGTAGCCTCTACATCATCACCTTCAGTATCAGAATCTAATTTGTGATTTGTTTCTAACAATGTGACAACAACCTTACAATTCAGCAACTCGAATCTCTTAAGCTCAAGTTTATACTTCAGTTGATGCAAAATGATACCGTTCTCAGAGTACATAAACTCAATACCTATGAAATATGTCATCTTTCCTAGATCAATCATCTCATACTTATTCATCAACACCTTCTTGAACTTAGTTATCTCATGTTCACAACTCTCTGTTAGCAACAGGTCATCAACATACAAACACACCAGAATTATATTGCCTTCAGAGATATGCTAAACATAAACACCATACTCCATCTCACACTTTCTAAATCCTTAGATCTTGAAGAATGAATAAATTTTCAGATTCCAAGCTCTAGGAGCTTATTTCAGTCCATATAACACTTTGTGTAACTTGTATACCATCTCTTCCTATTTTTGTCACAAATCTAGGAGGTTGTGACACGTATACCTAGTCTTGTAATGGACCGTTCAGAAATGTATATTTCACATCTAAATGCGTCAGAGGCCAATTCCTATTAGCAGCTATCGCAATCACCAGTCTGATTATCTCATGTCTCACTACACGAGTAAACACTTCAAAGTAATTAAACTCAATCTTTTCTAGAAAACCTCTCGCTACTAACCTCGCTTTGTGTTTACCATTTGATCCATATGGCTTTAGTTTCTCCTTGAAAACCCATTTGACGTTGATGGTTTTCTTGTCTTTTGGAAGCTCAGTCAACTTCCAAGTCTTGTTTCTTTCTATATCCTCAAGTTCTTCTTTCATGGACTTCAGCCACACTTTCTTCTTGAGCGCTTCTTCAATATTGAATGGTTCAGAGTCTACTAACATGGAACACTAAATGACTTCCCCTTCAGAGTCTACTTCAGTATCTTACAACATATCAAACTCTACAAATTTCCTTGGTTTATTTCTGATTCTTTATGGCATTTAAACTTGTTCAGAATTGTCTTCGGATTCTAGAACAACATTAGATGCTAGAACCCCAGAAGTACCATCTTTAGAGGCATGACCACCTTCAGAGTCTGGAATATTTCTAGAGTCTGAATCACCATCAAAATCTGGATTAGAATCATATTCACTTTTAGATTCTTCTTCAACTTTAAAGTTACCTTCAGACCCTGGCTCATCTTCATACTCACCTTTAGAATCAACTTCTGACTCTTACTCATCTTCAGAACGTTCAGATTCTAAAGTATCTTCAAAAGTCAACTCGGGTGTTAACACCGCATCAGAGTTGGATTGTGATTCACTCCAATCCCACGCTTCTGACTCTTTCACAACGACGTCTCTACTGAATTCAACCATGTTAGTGACAAGATAGTAGAGCTTATAAGCACCTATACTATGGTACCCTACAAGCATCATGACTCTGCTTCTGTCATCCAACTTCCTTCTCTTATCATCTATAACATGATTGTAACACACATAACCAAACACCTTCAGATGACTCACAATTTTCTTATCTCTAGTCCACTACTCTAAAGGAATAATTTCATTCAACTTCTTTGTTTGACACCTGCTGAGCACATATGCTGTTGTGGTAACAACTTCTCCTCATAATGTGTAAGGGAACTTCTTCTCCTTCACCATATTCCTCGTCATATCAAGTAAATCTCAATTTCTTTTTTCAGCAAGAACATTGTGTTGAGGAGTGTATGAAGCAGTCACCTCGTGCTCAATTCCATTCTCCTCACAGAACATTATAAACTCTGTAGAGTTCTATTCACCTCTACCATCAGTTCTGAGAATTTTCATCTTATAACCACTCTATTTTGTCAACCTTCACTTTAAATTTCCTAAATTTAGCAAACATCTCATGTTTGAACTTTATAAGGGATACCCACGTCATCCTTGTGAACTCATCCACAAATGACACAACGTATTTATTCCCTCAAAGTGACGGTACTGGAAATGATCCACACACATCAGAATGCACTACTCCTATGGCATGCATTACTCTTGGGGCTACTTTTGATGTAAATGACAATTTTGGTTACTTCCCTCTCATGAACACATTACATGACTTCTCTATCTTCTTAATTTCAGGAATTCCATGCACCAAATTCTTCGAATTAAGATGCCCTAAGCTTCTGAAGTTCAAATGACCAAATCTTTTGTGCCACTTCTCACTTTCCTTCACAACACTTGTTGTACTAAGGCATTCATAGTCTGCAATTTTAACATTCACCTTGAATGTTCTATTCCTTTCCTATTCTAACTTCATAATCAGCTTCTGATTACAGGCATACAACTTCAAAAGATTTTCCTTCATGGCAACTAAAAAACCTTTCTCAATTAATTGGCCCACACTAATCATATTGCTTTTCATGCCATGCACATACCACACATTCTGAATTAATGTTATTTTACCATTATTCAGAACTACTCTTACATTTCCCATACCTTCAGTATTGAGGTATTTATCATTAGCGCATATGATATTTGTTCTCTTTCTAGAGTCAAAGTCAACCAGCCATTTCCTATTTCCAATAAGATGACTTTAGCAGCCAGTGTTCATATACCACCAGTCTGTCAAATACGCATCATCAGATTCAGAAGCCATCAATAATATAAATTCATAATCAGAATCTTTTCTAGATACGTTTTCTTCTTCTTTTGACTTCCTTTCTTTATTTGACCAACAGTCAGCAACAAAGTGGCCAAACTTCTTACAACACTAGCACTGAATCCTTCTCTTGTCATACTTCTCATTCTCCTCCTGAGCACTCTTCTGCCTTCCAGAACTTGAGGTTTCTGATTTCTGAGACCTATCATGTCTTTTCTTAGCCTCTGACCAAGACTTCTTCTGGTCCTTCTTGACAAAAGAAGCTTTTAAGGCCTGCTCTACCTCTCTCTGAAAGGTTCTTTCAGTTATATGCAACTTTTGTGCCTCTAGACTGCTTTGCAGTTCTTCTATTCTCATTATGCTCAAATCTTTAGAATGTTCAATTGCTACAACAATGAAATCAAACCGAGGAGTAAGATATCTAAGTACCTTCTCAATGATCCTTTCATCAGAAAGAGTTTTTCCACACGACTTCATCTCATTTGTGATCAGAATCACTCTGGAAATGTAGTAAGGTACCTTATCATTGTACTTCATGTTGAGATTCTCATACTGCTTACATAGAGACTAAAGCTTCACCTTCTTAATCGATGCATCACCATCATAGCATACCAGTGTGTCCCATGCAACCTTCACTGTCGTTGAATCAACAATTTTCTCAAACAAGTTAACATCCACACACTAATGGATATAGAACAACGCCTTACAATCCTTCTTCCTCTGATCACGTTGAGCATTCCTCCAGGCATCCATTGCATTTTCCGAAAGTGCAAATAAAACTTAACCGTCGTTGACGAGATCAAGAACATCTTGATGGCTAAACAACACACGCATCTAAATCATCCACTGATTCCAGTTCTTGCCATCGAACACTGGAAGCTTAGTACTCAGATTATCATTTCCATTCATCTTTAACCTTAGACAGTTCACTCAGATCTCGTCAAACATTAGTGTTTCCCAATCCCACATAATCAAGACATGTGATTGTGTTATGATTTTGATCAAAAGTTTACCATGAGTTCAAAAAATGAAACCAATCACACAACGCCTCACCGTTCCCCCGTGTTTCCCTGTGGATATGAACGGAACTCTAGATACCAATTGTTGGTGCACAAGGTGAAAAGATTAAGATGAAGAGAGAGAGAGAAAGAATAACAAACTTCCACTACTCTTCTAAAACGGTTATAGCAAAATGGTTGCACATACTACACTATACTACAATACTCAGTGGATACAACTGCTGACAACTACAATACTATATATACATATATAACAATGCCACATAGCCTAAATACTAAAATATTGAATTACCCTTCAACAACTATTTATAGTACCTGAATCAATAATTCTATAGTTTAGGTTTCTTCTAAAATCAACATGGTCCTCATTAATGAGTGTTAGACTTTGAAATATAAGACTTTTGTG